TCTGGGAGTTGAAGTCCACTCATCTTAAAGTGGCCAAGTTTGGACAACACTGCCCTAAGCTGTCATTACAAAACTCGGCTGTTATCCTAAAGCTAGAACCAAATAAAATTTGAGGGAAGACTGTTTTGGGTATCAAGAGAACATTTGAACCAACTTAAAAGAAATCAGAATTAGCAGCTATTTTATTCAGGCTAGCTTCTGCTAAACAATATGAAGATGAACAACTTGGTGGCCTTGTTTTGCTGTTGAAAAGAAAGATTTTGTCCGGTGCTGTATAGATAACACAGTTGTACAGTTGGAATTATGAAGATAAATTTGTTGAGCAATTAGAGTGTCATGGAATAAAGCAGATACAAAACCACAATATACTTTGCCCGATTTGAATATATGTTGTAATGTTCCTAGAAGGCCTTGCATTATGATGAAGATTTTCTGTCAATCAGTTTGATAAATGCACATTTTGGCAAATACACATTTGTCTTCAAAGGCTTTAAAGCAGGCACAGACAACATCCGTGGCCCAAGAGTTTTGGGAATGTGTGATGGGACCTCTCACAAAATGGCTTCCATGGGGATGGCCATTTTCTGAGGGCCTCTAGGACACACACTCCAATTTCCAAGCCTGTCCACTGGCTCAAAAACCTGCCAACCTCTGGATTCATGAATATGCTAGCAAACCAAAATTATGGGTGCCACCAGAAATACACATGATGTACTTATTTTCGTACTTTGTAAATGGAAGGAATGTTTAAATTGTAGTTCCTAGTTATATCTGAGGGTGTAATGATTCTTTTTTTAAGTCAGAAACTTTCTGCTCACTGGTCTTGCCCAGCTTAGGAAACATTCCCAGTTTTATGGCTTGTTTATATTCCGAAAACACAGGTTGCTTTTCCTGATTTGATGCACTGAGCTGAGCTTACTCACTGGCTGGAAATGTTTGTGCAGGTCAACTGGTTCTTCACCAGTGGGCAGATATTGCCCCACAAGCACTCTGCTGAGCAAACACCTTTTCACCAACATGATTAAAGTAGGAGCAACAACTGCAACTCTCTGTCTTCCTTTTTTTTTTTTAGGAATGCCATTGGCTCAGGCTGTAGCAATTGTTCAGAAACACTGTCGTATCATCAAAAATGTCCAAGTTCTCTACAGTGAACAAGTAAGTCTTGCTTAAGCTCGCTTGCTGTTGTTTTCTATGTGCAATCAATACCCTGCAAGGAACAGGATGTGTCAATATTGCGTGATGTTATTGTGTGTGTGTGTGTTGGTCTGTATAATATCTAAACATTTTTGGCAGTTGCCACATCCTGAGGAATGTAGTTTTAAAAAACATGGTAGCTTTCACATTGTGTCAGTCAGGTGTGTATATGTGTGAGTGTGTGTATGATTAGTTTTATTCAAGAATATTTTCTGACCTTATCATAGCTTGCAACTCCAAGGGACTGATGACATATTTAACTTTTCACAGAATCTGTATCTAATCAGAACATGTATTGGATTCAGAGAGCTGAACTGAAACAGGTCACTTTGATTTGGATTATTGATTTCATTTGGAAATAAGAAAGGAGTTTTGCGCATATCGAAACAATTTAGTAATTCAGTCCCATCAAATCCCTGAATTTCCCAATCAGAGCTCTGAACAGATTGTTAACATCCCTAATCTTTTTGGATTGGGAAAAAAAGACGTTTAAATGCTTCAGAGAGTCACCTGCTCAAGAGATTGTGATGGATTTTCGCAGATAATGTGCTCCCATCTTACATTTAGACTGTTGCATCAGGGAACAAATCTAATCAAAATCAGTTAATAATCCTGTAAAAGCAGGAAAATTAAAAGCAGGATTTAAGACATATTGATGCTTTAAACAAACAGCTGCTAATACATGATTAAAATCTCAGTCAGCGTTACTGTAATCCCTGTTTTTCAGATTCACACTTTGCAATCTAAAATCACAATACAGTACTTTAATTCATCAGCACTGAAGAGTGCCTTTATTTTGCAGTCTGTTATACTTTTGGTAAGGAAAGGCAGTGAGGATTTTAAAAAGAAAAACCTAGGAATCACTGATTTCCTTGTGGCATGGATTTTGCTTTTTAGAAAGAAATGAATTAAAAAGAGCTTACGTTCTTATCCATAAATAATCACAATTTTTGTCAGTGCTCTGGCTGATTTGGTCCTCAAATATATATTGACTTTTGTAAATTTTAATATTTTTTTTGCCCTGTTTATACTCTCTTAATTAATATATTTTCCTTTATTCCAGTTCACATAGATAGCTGTTTAATTAATAAGGAAGTTTGTCACACATAGCCAGTTTGTTTCATGGGAGAATTCTGCAAATGATCCTCCTGATGTGAAATGTAAAGTATTTCAGGGATTTTTATATCATTTTAAATGTTGATCTTAGGATAGTGATCAATTCTCACATGATGGCATTGTAGTTTACTTCTTGGTTCATCTGGTCAGAATTTGGGAAGGTCATTCATTTCTTCTTGTATATCCCATGCCTGTTGAAGGATGTTAATTATGAGTACAAGAAAATATGGCTGCTTGTTTTTAATTTTGTGATTCCTAAGCTGTGGTCCAGATCCAAAATCTGCTAATAGGATCAAATGAAAATTATTTATGATCGAAGCATAATCAGGTTACTTCTTGGTTCTCATAGAAAAGCCCATAAATTAGTTAGAAAATATTTGATAGGAAGGAAGGAAGGAAGGCAGACAGGAAGGCAGGCTTGAAATCAAAATATTTAATAGAGGCATTTATTCTAGATGGTTTAAGATGACTTAAGCTAGTCTCAAAGAGAAAAGTAACATACAAATCATTACTAGACTAGGTAACATCATCAGTGCTAGTGAGTGTGGGGTTTGTTCCCTGTTTATATACCGTAGCTTGCCCTGTGTCAGCCTTACTAGGTAGACCAGACCGGAAACACAACCACATAAACTAATTTTACTTTACTGTAAAGCTACATAACAGAATCTTGCATGTCTGAAAGTACAGTTCTCCCATTGTCACCTTTACAGCCCGAGAACTTAGAAAGGGTCTCTTCTGAGCCTCTTGCTCTTCCCATTATGCAGCTTTGGGCTATGTTGTCTCTTATCTGACCATTCACTAGGCAGTGTCTCTGGGCCCAGTCTCCCAAGGTCTTTCCCACATACCATTACACACCTGCCAGTGTTGGTGGGGTGTGGTTTTCTCCTTGCTACTTCTTTGATTAGGGTATTGTTTTCTGCTTGATTGTTTGTCTGGTGTTAATCCCTGCTTATCTGGGTGTTGGTTGCTGGAGAGGATCTTACAAAACTTCCATCGGCTGTTTTGTAAAATCGCCCAGAGGGTGACCTAAATAGTCTAAGTATCTCCATCAGCCCCAAAAGATGTGGGTTCCCCTGAGCTAGATATTCAGGGACCTTGACGTTGGAGGAATATGGGAAGGCCAGTACAATTGCAAGTTTATTTAAATTTGGATGTATTACACATAGGCTCTGGGCTCCACAACCAGCTTCTGGGAGTGGATGTGCAGATTGTGTAAATTTGTTCCAGATACACTTAAGATTTTAAAGGAGCAGTTCTCAACCAGAGGACATATGGCCCCTTGGGGACCCTAGGATTTTGAAGGGGCCCACAGGTGAAAAAGTGTAACAAGGGGCCACAGCGCATACCGAGGGGGCCACAGAAAAGCAAAGTATATGATACTGCAAATACTGTCTTGCTGACATCAGAAAATACACCAGTTACTGTCCCATGTCCCTATCCAATAATGGGACTGGGGGGGTGGCACAGGAGAAAAACAATGTTAGAAAGGGGGCACAGGCAAAAAAAGATAGAGAACCACTGTTTTAAAGGATCTAACAGGCTTATTTGAACATGTTTTCTTGGCTCTGATTCTCCTATACTTCTGTTAGCTGTCCATTAGCGATGATAAATCCAAAACTATTTTGGGCTGTCCTGTAGTAACCTGGGTCTCAACTAAACTTAGGCCCTGCTGAAAAAATGGTCACATGAGAATTTAGATTTAAAATGTATTTCATGAGCATTTTTAATATAAATAGGAAAAATGGAAATTGTTTTTCATGCTCAAATTCAGACATTGAAAAGTTGCAGCACAGAATGGCTGCTCAAAAAACACTTAGAAAAATGTTTATATGATGGGAGAACTGCTATTTCAGAAAAAGCACACACCCCAAATTGCTGTTTACGATGGATACGTATGCAAAGAAGTTAATGCCATAAAAAAAAAAGTACCACGGGAATTAAAAGTGAGCAGAAATATGCTTGTGAATATTTGTGCAAGACGTTTTTGCTGAATTCCTAAAGAGCAGGGTGGAAGATACAGGCAAAATGAAACTGTTGATACGAATGAAGGATTTATCTATCTGTAAGCCTAAACAGCTGCATATTACTTCTGTCCTGTTAATAAGCTGGATGTTCTGTGTTCAGCCTTTCTTTTCCTTCTAATGTGAATGTTGACTATTCTCTGCTCCCTACCATGGGGAGCACATCCATGTCTAACTCAGACTCAAGATGTAAATGTACTTCATTTTTCCTCTATTCTTCTCAAGAGCTGGGGCCACTATATACTTGTTAGGCTTTAAGAAGGCACAAGAGCCTTACTTTTGGTGAAGTAGAGTAACATGGCTATTCAGCCACCTGGAAATCCCATTTCCTCTTCATTTCTCCCTCCGTCCCTCTCTAATTCTATATTAAAATATAACACCACATCAGGTAAAATTACCTGCTGTTTCTCAAGCTCTGAGCTCAGAGTTGAGACATCCTTTACATACACTTATGCGCATGTACACGTCCACATTTCCTTTAAGAAGCTGCCTTTGTCTGGTTTTAAGATTTGCTGGGGAAGAAAGCCACAGGGTGCTGTGACAATTAGAGCAATTTCTTCAGATGTGTTCTGTTCTCTTTTCAGCATAAGTTCGTAAATATACTGTATCATCACCCATCTAACAAGGCTTGGATCACTGAGTTGTTAGCCCTCCGAGATAGTCCAGACAAGAAGCACACCCAGGAGCACTAGCTCTAACTTTAATGTAAGGTTAAATTAACAGAATCTTGCAAGTCTGAAAGTACAATTCTGCCTCCTCGCCTTTACAGGTAGTCCTCGGTTAATGACTGTTTAATGATGGTCCGGAGTTACAACAGTCTTGGGAAAAGTGCTTTACAACCCCCACAGTCATATGAATGCAATTTGCAACCTTTTTACTACGGTCGTTAGGTGAATCATCACAATCATTAAGTGAATCACGTAGTTAAGCAAATCACGCAATTGTTAAGCGAATTCCAGCAAAAACCGTCCATTGGGGAAGCTGGATTCACTTAATGACAGGTGATTCACTTAACGACTGCAGTGATTTGCTTAACGGCCATCGTAAAAAGGTTGTAAAATCAGCTCCAATTCGCTTAACAACCAAATTGCTTAGCGACCTAAATTCTGATCCATATTGTGGTCAGATAGCAAGGACTACCTGTACAGTCCAAGAAACTAGGGAGTGTCCCTTCTGAGACATTTGCCCACCCCCATTTCTTTTGTGGGCTCAGCTGCCTCTTACCTGACTGGTGCCTAATCTGAGGCTCTTCCTCCTCTCTCCCAAAGTCTTTCCTTCATACCATCACAGCCGGGATGCAGTGCCCAACCCTGCCCTGGTCCAAGTCTGTATCATGGGGATCTTGCTTAGAGAGAACTGTGTGCAGACCAAGCATCATTCCAGGGGGAGGGGAATTTTTCTGTGCATAGGACACCCTATGTAAATAATAGCTACATGTTGTTTGTATAGTTTGATTTTATAATCTGACATTTCTACAGCTGTTGTAACAAATGCTTCAATATTTGCATTCATTGTATTCCTGTATTGCAGTGTTTCTCAACCTGGTCAACTTTAACATGTGGACTTCGAATCCCAGAATTCCTCAGCCACCAGTTGGGAGTTGAAGTTCACACATGTAAAAGTTGGCCAAGTTGAGAAACACTGCTATATTGGATGGAAGCTGTTCTGCCTTGCTTTTAAGAAAGGAAAACATGACTCTGTTTTGATAGTGCCCTATCTCTGTTTCAGCATAGAAGAGTGCTTAAGGCTTGGATAGAGCCATTTGTATTTTTAAACGTCCCAACAGCACCTTCCAAAAGCTACTGTTTGCACTGCACAGGAAATTTCAGAATTTGTTCACTGCAAATTGTTCAGGATAGAAATGGATGCTCTTGAAGAATCTTAAGTCCAAAGTCCCTATGCGCACTTATGTCCCTTGCTAATTCTTTTAAGCCTAGCTTTTGTCAGTTGAGGAGGTCAAAAGCCATCTTTTAAAAAAATACAGTATAAAACAGCTGGGTTCTGAAAGTGAGTTAGAAACCTGCCTGAAACCAGCTGGGCAATTTTTAGCTCATTGTGAGGAATAGACGCTTCTTCAGAGCAATAGATATAGTGGGGATCTACAAGCACACAAAACATATTGCTCACTCTTTCAGCTTGCACAAGAGTTTCTAGGAAGTGATTCCAGAGGTGGGAGTTAATGCATCGTAAGAGTAAGAGTATGAGTGATGGACTGCTTCTGACCAGCATGCATCTGGACTTAATTATTTAAGTAATCTAAACTATGAACGCCAGATGTGCGTCTTGTGTTGATTGAGTTACTGTTCCATATTTGACACTCTTCCCCAAACGGAAGCCTTCTAGAGGTGTTAAGACTTCAGCTCTCATAATGCTCAGCCAGGAGGACCCATCCTGATTGGGAATGATGGAAATCAAAGGCAAATATCTCAGGAGAGAGCATCTGGTTGGGAACAGCTGTTGTAAACAGTCACCCCATTGGAATGGCATTTTGCTTTGGCGCGATTTGACAGTTCTGTTACTGGGGAAGAGAATTACATCATTTCCCCTGCAAACTACCTGGGAGGATGTTGTCATTTTCAAGCAATTAACATGCATCTGTAAATTCTCCATTCTTCAATCTTTTCCGCTCAGAAGCTGGGAAGGAGTTGAATGAATTATTCTCTCCCATTCTGATTGGCCATGGACTAGCAGTGGCTGTTCATTAACCATAATAACAAGAATGGATTTGACATTTTCAGTGGAATTTAAAAGTTGATGTAAAGGGGCAGAATTCCAGCTTTTTATTTCTCAAGGCACTCATTGTAGTTGTGTTGATAGTGTGATAAAAATGTCTCTCTCGTGATGCATTTTGGTTGTTCGTCCTCAGCCAGGAGCATGAGACTTAGCTGATATTCCTCTTCTGAGAAAGCAGTTTTCTCTGAATTTTAATGTAATGTGGATCTTGCCTAGTGCCCCTATATTTTATTTAAATAATATGAGGAAAAGACATTTGGCAACTGCAGTTTTTGGCATGTCTGTTTTCTGGTGGCCTCTACTGAACTTGCAACCTTTCCTTGTGCCAACTGAAAGAAACCAGTGCCAAGGTTCTTTCTTTTGGCTTTCAGAAAACAGGGCTCCAGAAATTCTCTGCCAGCTATTTAAAAATGAATTTCTTTTATTTATTTTCCAGTCTCCTCTTAGCCATGACCTCATCCTTAACCTGACTCAGGACGGAATCAAACTGCTATTTGATGCTTTCAATCAAAGACTAAAGGTAATCTCACATTCAGAAGTTACAATTCTGTCTCTCTCCACCCTCCCGTAAGAGTCCATGAGTACTGCCAAAGTGAATTATCACAAAGCTGACACCAACCATGTTCTGAGCAACAACTGTGCAACTGGGTCTCCATGGCTACTGCTTGTCTCATTATTTAGATCTTGTGTGTTTATGGGGCTGGGTGCTGCTGAAGCACGTAGCGATGCTGATATTCACACTTCTTTTGGTCGTGATTTAATGTCTTGATTTTAGACCACTGTACAAGGTTTGAATATGTTGTTTCAGCTAGAATACATGACAGCTGTTGGATAAGCAGCTCTGGAGATGATTGATTTCAAAAGAAGAAGCCTTCCAAATGTGTTAGATATAAAGAAGGGGGTGGGTGAGCACCTGCTTTGACTTCCCTTCTCCATATTCTGGCTGGTGGAGCATATCCACCATCTCATATGCACCTTGGACAGCTCCCTCTTTTCCTCAAGCCCTGTAGTCATGATATCAGAAGGAAGCAGAGGGACTTTCTGACTTAAGCAGGCCATAAACGAGGAGAGTCCAACCATTTTAGGGCTGATCTAGTGTGGATTTCCCCCAAACATAGGCAGGACCAGGAAAAAAATAGATATAATTAATAAAATTAACTCCAATATAGACAATTAGAGAGCCAGCATGATGTAGTGGTTAAGGTGTCGTACTAAAGGTGCTGGACTAGGAGCAGGAAGACCCATGTTGTGGTCCCTCCCTCAGCCATGGAAGCTCCTTTTGGCACGGTCCCTCCCTCTCAGCCCAAGAGCCAGGATGGTGCAGTGGAGAAGGTGGAGGACCAGGAACAGGGAGACCCAAGTTCTGTCCCCTTTTGGCCATGAAAGCTCCTTGGAGGAGACTTGGGGCAGTCCTCCTCTCTCAGCCCCAGAGCAAGTGTGGTGTAGTGGTAAAGACACTGGACTATGAGGTGAGGCCCAGATTCTATTCCTCCCGTAGGCAGGCAAGTCATCTGGATGACCTCAGGCCGGTCCCTCCCTCTTAGCCCCAGACAGCATCAGGCTCTCCAACAACCAGGCTGAAAAATAAAATTTCTTGTGTGTCACACATTGACAGCTACAGGAACTGCAGGGAACACACTGCAAAACAAGAGGAGCCCTGCAACCCATCAGAGCACACACCGCTACTTCAGTATAGCTATCCCCTGTGCGTTTAATCCTTTTCTCCTCAGTTTAATGTTCAACTTTTCTATTTGGCAGTGCCTCTGAGGAGCAGTGGGGCCCCCTTTTCCTTACTGGAACATGTTTGCTCCTATCCTTTTTTCTGCCACATGGGCAAAGGCATCTAGAGTTTTGGGGAAGTTTTGCTTTTCTTCTCACTCAGGGCAGCCATGCTTGTTTCCCTTTTGAAGCTCCTGCTTGGTGTGGGGCAGGATTTTTGGGGTTAATGGTTTCTCATAGATCAGTCAATCTCTTTTCGTAGCATTAAGCAGCACAGGGGTTCCCAAGCTTGTGCAGGCTTGAAGTAAACCTTAGGTGAGGTCACTCGCTCCAGCAGCATTTTAGGGGTGTGGGGTTTACCATGTGTGAACCAGGTCATCATGGTTTATTCATGGAAGATGCAAACCATGATTGACCATGATATGCAAAGTAGCGACTGAAAATTGATTTTGCACTTTTTGAGACTGATTGTTCGTGTTTGGTGTTCTGACCTTCTGCCCTGACTCTCCATAGGGATTCTTGGTCTCTACTGGTCACCTTCTGATGGTGTTCTGCTCAGCCCTGCAGCTTTCTCTTGTGTTCCTCTACCACGGCTGTGCTTTCATTTCTTATCTTTTATCTCCTTCTCTGCTTCTTTCCTATTCCAACCCACCCTCTTCTCTTCCTCTTTCCTGTAGTCTTCCTGCTTTCCATAACTCACATCTCCAGGCCCTTAGCTCCAGGCATTAAAACGGTGTTTTTCAACCTGGCAACTTTAAGATGAGTGGACTTCAACATGCTGTCTGGGGAATTCTGGGAGTTGAAGTCCACACATCTTAAAGTTGCCAAGGTTGAA